TATATATATATATATATATATAATCTTTTAAATGAGAAACACTTTATGAAAATTATAGATGCACTGCTTTTTGAAATCTTTGTTCTTGTTCCTCTTGTAAAATCAGGCATAGAATTACAGTACAAGAATCTAAGTGCTTATAGATTATTGCATAATACCATTAAGAAGATGTGCTCTAGCTCAATCAGCCTCTCTTCTTTCGGATGTGAGGAATATGTGGAATGAAATGCACTTAAAACTGTGTTTATACAATGCAGTAAAGCATAATGGAAACATTAGTTTCATGTAAATTACATATGCCAGAGCATCAGAGATAGCATGTGAATATAAAATACCTCAATATGGCTAATTAAAGGGAATGAAACAAAGGGATCTGAAATGTCTGCTTGACAATTATGAAGAGCGATATGAACAGATAAAGAAACTATAAACAAAATTGTGAGGCTTTAGTTTTCTTTAATTAAAATTCAGCACCACAGAAAGTCCAGTCAGACCGAGTTGATTTTCAGGACCTTGGACAAGACCCCAAAGTGGAAAATGTGTGCTTTCAATGTATTTTGCAGTGTTCTTTTTAAAAACAAAATTTGTTGGGTGATGATTTGTGATAATGTTGATATAAGAAAAATTGAACTAATAATATGATTTTGTATAATATATGATAATTATTATTTTCATGAGGACTTCAATCATTTCAGTTATAATTTTACTCTTTTGGTGTGTGTGTGTGTGTGTGTGTGTGTGTGTGTGTGTGTGAGTGTGTGTGATGCAGGAATAGTTTAGAATAATTTAGTTGGTCTTAGTTTCAGGATATTTAGAGAACATTCAAATCAAATGTTTCTATAATGTTTGCAAAATGATAATATGGAATGTTTCCTTAATATTCGCAAAACCAAGGAACAAACACGTTTAAAACATGCAGAGAACATTCAGAAATAGCGTTTTCAACTATTAATGGGAACATTACCAAAACATTCTTGAAACATGTTTTTGTTAACTGGAATGTTAGTATGATACTCTGAACATATCTAATCGGATGTGGTTACATGTGGGAAAGTGCTATACTAACATTTTAAGTAATATTGTCTGCTAACATGTAATATTGCTTATAACAATACTAAGTGAGAATTTGTGCTCAAAGCCTGCTTTTATGGCTCTTTGGATGTGCATCTGAGAAAAGATTATCTAGTTTCTAAATCTTCAAACAGCAGGAGCAGATACCAGACTTGTAAGCTGTTCTGCAAAGTCCCCTTCCAGTTGAAAATCCCTGTTCCAGCACGCTCAGTTCTGATGGCTAGTCTGGGATCTAATGGCTGATGTAATTGCTTAGAGGTTGGGGCCAGTTACTGCCCTGCTTTCCCTGTCATCACTAATACTGGAAGTTGCCTGCTGCCATGTTGTGATATACCATGCTAGTGGAATGTGCTTTATCTATCTATCTATCTATCTATCTATCTAAGCTACTGTCAATACCTCAGTAGTTTAGGGTTGGTAAAAGTCTCTTATGCTTTCTAAAAATATATTTGATCAAAAATACTGTAAAACAGTCAAATTACTCCAGTCATGAGTGTCACATAATCCATCAAAAATCATTCTAATATGTTGATTTGGTGCACAAGAACCATGTCTTGCTTTTATCAATGTTGAAAATAGTTGTGCTGAATATTTTTGTGCAAATAATATTTATGAAATGGCAATATTTTGTAGCATTTAAATGTCTTTAATGCCATTTTTGACTCTTGAGAAGCCAGAATGACATAGATCTCGCCTACTATGGAGACTTTGTCTGGGTGGTGGCTGCTATGGAAACGCTGGCAGAGAGAGTGAAGGTTAGAGAAATACTGATAGCTGAATATGGAATTAATAATGGAGGGTTATGCAAGCCCAAGTCTTACTTTCAGGCTGCGAGTTGTTCAGTTCACGCTGACCTGTGATATTTATACATACAGTATCTATGTTGGTTATAGGTGTAGATACAAAAAAAAAAACGTACATTGATTAATGATCATTAAAATTCAAGATTGCTTGGCTTCAAAACAAGCTTTATAAATCAAGTGGGATAAA